AGATACCCTAATTTAGTCAGTATTGGTGATTTCAGCGTTAAGGGTGATCTTGTTGTGTGTGGTGGGTTAAAACAGCTTCTGGTCTACAACAGATAGAAAGAAATCACTCTCGAGAAAGAAAAACAGCTTATTTGATTTTGAATGGGAAGGAACATAATAGATCTAAGCATTTGAGAGGCTGGATTTCTGAATTTTGAATGATGTGACAGCTTAGTTTTCAGTTACTTATCTAAGTTTGTGCAGATGGCATAGATTCATAGGACAGAATAGTATCATTAATTTGAATTTCATAGATTCTGAATTGGCTGTATGTATAAGGTATGTTTTCTTTTTGTATTGGTCTAGTAATTCTTATGTTTAAAGTACATCAGAATCTCAGATTAGCGGATATAATAAGTGGACAATGTGGTGGAGCTGGGAGGAGGAGAAGGGTGCGTGGGCTGTGCACATGCCCTTCCTCCTTTCCTCGTCACCCTCTGCTCCCCACCTTCTCCTCTGGATGTAGAATTAAAAGGGGAAGTTACCAGGCTGAACAGTTTTGAATTGGAGAAAACAGGTTTGTAGTGTTTACTTAGTCCTTAAGTCTGGTTGCACCTTGGGCATATTTGGTGAAGTTGACTGTGCATGCTGGTATTTTTTATTCTAGATCACCTTCCTTTCTGAGATTCTATCCATCCCTGGACTCCTACTTTTCCAATTTGCATTCATTTATTAGCAATTTTTAAAACAGTTTTTCTATGCCGGAACATATGCCAGGTCCTGACATAAGATTGTAAACAAGATAGGGCCCCTGTTCTCTTTCTAGGAGCATATAATCCTGTGAAAGGGTAGAAACAGAGACGGATCAGGTGGTACTGTTGAGTAAATAGAGGTGTGGTGGGAGTCTGCAGGGACTCACTAACCCAGTCTGGGTATTCAGGGAAAGCGTATAAGAGGCAGTGATAAGTTGCTTAAAGCTTTCCTGTTGTCTCTCATCTCCTGAAGTTACCTGTCACAAGAAGCCCTGCTCTATTAAATGTTCCTTCTCTCCCTGCCCCATTTAAAATGGCTTTGCTTGTCTGTTAAAACAAAATTTAGACAAAGACATAAATGAGGACTGATCCTTTTAGAGAAGAATTTGCAAAAACGACAGGAGTTTGTGAACACAAAAGTGTTCTTAACTGATTTTTAGTTGATATATTTCTGATTGGGAAAATCCAAGGGCAACCTACCTTCAATCATAATAAAATAATACTTAACATTTATGAGCCCTTAGCATGTGTTAGGCATTAAGATAATTACCTTATGTTCATTATATTAAAGTGAAATACACAAACATGCAGACTCTTAACCCTCACTACTGCTCACCCTCGTTTTTTACAAGCACCCTGTTCTCTAGAGTGACCTGAAACTGAGTCTGCCCAGTGGCTTAGCACAATGAACACCAATATTCGTTAATTCACTGATTTGCAGCTCTTGGGAGAACTGGGAGAGATGGATATAGTATGAAAAAAATATATATTCAGTTTTGCAGTTGTCCCGACTTTTATTTAAAGTTACAATGTGCAATTCCTTTTTTATATATATTTTTATTGATTTCAGAGCGAGGAAGGAAGAGGGAGAGTTAGAAACATCAATGATGAGAGTCATTGATCAGCTGCCTCCTGAACGCCCCCTGCTGGGGATCGAGCCTGAAACTTGGGCATGTGCCCTGACCAGGAATACCACCTGTGACCTCCTGTATCTTAGGTCGATGCTCAACCACTGAGCCACACCAGCTGGACTATAATTCATTTTGAAATTTCAAATAACTGTAAAGGAGGACATCGGATATTTATGTTTTCAAACCACAGGATTTTTAAAAGATTCCTATAAAACGCTGCTCTTAATCTATTTTGAAGTTCTCTGATTCATATATTTGTCGCATTCTGTATTAGAACTTTATAAAGAATGCCTTTTTTCTTGTTTTTATGTATTCATATCCATTCCATTTATAGTTTTTCCTAGTTACTTGAAGGGAGCAACATTAAACAAAGGAAAAAGGTTAAGTTCTGATGGGCTGTCTTTCCCCTGCCCCATTACAATTGACTGTTTTGTGGGAGTGGTGAATTCAAATACTTTTCAGAATTTAGTAGTTTCTTGAGTTAAGGGGTAACGCATTTTTTTAATCTTGGGGTGTAATTTACATAAAATAAGATGCACCCATTTTAGCTGTGCAGTTCAGTAAGTTTTGACAAATGAACGTACTCATGTAACCATTACCTTAATTAAGATATAGGGCATTTCCACCCCCCCCCAATTCCTTAATGTTCCTTTGCAGTCATTCTCCCCACCCTGTCCGTGGGCTACCACTAATCTGGTTTTCGTTACTGTAGTTTAGTTTTGTCTGTTTTATATTGGAATCAGGTAGTGTTTACTGTCTTTTGTATCTACTGTCTTTCCCTTAGCATAATGTTTCTGTGATACATTCATGTTTGTTGCATGTATGACTAGTTCTTGTTTTATTTTCTAGTTTTGGGCTTTTATGAACAAAAAATTGTTATAAACATTTGTTTACCGGTCTTTATGTGGACATGAGTTTTAATTTCTCTTGGGAATGAAATTGTTGGGTCATATGTAAATACATGCTTAACTTTCTAAGAAGTTTCTGAACTGTTTTTCAAAGTGTACCATTTTACACTCCACCGGGATGTGTGAGCTTTCCAGTTGCTCCACGTCGGTCAGCACTTGATATTGTCCCTCTTTTCTTTCTTTTTTTTTTTTTTTAGCCATTTCAGTTAGTCTATAGTGGTATCTCAATGTAACTTTAATTTGAATTTTTCTAATGACTGCAGATATTGAGCACTTTTGCATGTGCTTATTGCCCATTAGTATTTCTTTCTTTGTGATGTGTTTATTCAAATCTTTGTCCCTTTTATTTTTTTATTTTTTTTATTTTTAAAATATATCTTTATTGATTTCAGAGAGAGGAAAGGAGAGGGAGAGAGAGAGACAGAAACATCAATGATGAGAGAGTCATTGATCGAGCCCGCAACCCGGGCATGTGCCCTGACCGGGAATCGGACCCCGATCGCCTGGATCCCGGGTCGACGCTCAGCCGCTGAGCCACGCCCGGCCGGGCTTTGTCCCTTTTAAAATGTCTTCCATATTTGAATAATAGAATTGTTGTTTTTAAAAATATAATTTGGATATAAGTTCTTCATCAGATACTTGTTTTGTGAATATTTTCTCCCAGTCTGTGGCTTGCCTTTTCATTTTCTTGGTGTCTTTTAGAAGAGCAGATGTTCTAAATTTTGAGTCCAGTTTACCAGTCCTTTTCTTTTATAGTTGGTGCATTTTGCATCCTAAATGATCTCTTCCTACCCTAAGGTCTTGAAGATTTATTTCTGTGTTTTCTCATGAAAAGTTTTAGGTTTGTTTTGTAAAAGATCATGACTCTGTATAAAAGTCTGTATTTTGAAGAATATTTCCTAATCATTAGACTTGTTATTTTACGTGTATTAATATATTTATTTTTATATGTTTTTCTTGACTTTAGAGAGAGAGGAAGGGAGAGGGAGAGAAACATGGATCGGCTGCCTCCTCCATGCCCCTTACTGGGGGTTGCACTGGCCACCTGGGCCTGTGCCCTGACCGGAGTCGAACCGGCAACGTCTGACGCGTGGGGTGACTCTCCACCAACTGAGCCACACTGGCCAGGGCTATATACTGATTTTTGGTGAAGTGATTAGATTCTGTAAAACTGAAAGTATATATTAAATCTTTGCTTAACACAGAGTTCAGGATCTTCATATCTGACCCATAATAAAAGAGCTGGGTGTTAAGGTGCTTCTCTTATGGGACGTCCCTGTTCCTTTGATTGGACCCTCTTTTTCTCACCTTGCCTTGACAGCTTTTGTTTGCTATTTAACTAGAAGGAAAATAAATTCTCCTGTAGGAATCAGGTCAGTATATGAAAGAGATAAAATAATTGGTTGAGCTCACAGATTCTTTATCTTTTCTATTTTTTCTCCTTTCTGTTTGCTTTTTCTTTGAGCCAAGGTCTTTCTTCCCTTTGAACTTTTTCTCTCTTTTTCAGGAGAAGCACTCTTGGTGCTCTGCAAGCATCTCCTTTTTTAAAAATAATTATTGTTGAAAGTTTTACAAATGTCCCCCCTTTTCCCCCCATTGACCCCATTCCCAGGTTTTCACCAAAAACCTGTGTCCATGGGCTATGTGTATATGCATATAAGTTCCTAGGTTAATTTCTTCCCACCTCCCTTTCCCCTCCCCCTTTCCCTCTGAAGAACGTCAGTCTGTTCCATGCTTCAATGTCTCTGGGTCTGTTTTGTTCATCAGTTTATTTTGTTCATTAGATTCCACATATGAGTGAGATCATGTGATACTTGTCTTTCTTTGAGTGGTTTATTTCACTTAGCATAATACTCTCCAGGTCTCCATGCTGCGTCATAGGGCAAGAGATCCTTCTTTTTGACTGCTGTATAGTATTCCATGGTGTAAATGTCCCACTTTTTTTCCCCCTTTATATAATCTGTTTTTCTGAGTATATTTTCCTGAGAGTGAGATTGAATTTCTCTAGAATTTACTTTGGGATACTTCTAGCTTAATGTCCCAAAATATTTTGATTTTTGGCTGCGGGGGGAGGGTGGTGAAACACCAGTAAGAACACCAAAACCCAGTGTGGTAGGGGAGGATTTTATATTACAAATAATAGCATAGATATGAATGGGCTTTTCTTATACCTGTCTCCTCTCTAATACTTCATCTTTTCCAGTTTGCCATAGCTGTTTTTAATCTTGGAGGAATTCCACTCTGCCTCTCCAGTGAGACACTGATATATATGACTTTGTGATATTCTTGTGTTTCTTTTGTTCATGGGGTTAGTGCTCTTATTTTACATATGGGTTTCATGTGCTCCCTTGTATTTCTCGAGAAAGAGTACAGTTCATTGCTAATATGTAATTATTATCATTTTTCTCTGTTTTTCTCTTCCTTTTCTCTGTCTCATGGTTCCTGTGCAGGTCTTGTTCAGCGCTGTGTGATCATCCAGAAGGATGACAATGGATTTGGGCTGACGGTCAGTGGAGACAATCCAGTCTTCGTACAGTCTGTCAAAGAAGGCAAGGCATTTTTTTAAAACTGTCTTGTCACTTAAGAGCAAACAGAGTAGAATAGAAAAGTTTAAATGAAATGTATGTATTGCCCAGAATAAAATAATCATATGTATTGCAGGTTAGGTGCCTTTGGTGCTAGATTTATCTTCAGTGTCGCAGTTTTGGGCATGAATCTCCCCCAGTTGGTTTTCTTTGTGCTTTAAAGTTTTAGAAATCATATGACTCTTTGGTCATGATACTTTATGCATCATCACTTATAGAAGTTTGTGGAATATTACTTCTTTAGAGATATTTTGGTAGAGACAGATTAAACAAACGGTTATAGGCTCAAAAATATCCATTCTTTTTCCAGAACAACAATAATACCTTTTACTGCTATTACGATATATTGAATACTTCTTTTATGTTGGGTGCTGTAATTTGAGGTAGGTATTTTTTATACCGATTTTATAGGAGATATTGAGGCTTAGAGTGAAAAGCATAAAATCAGCCCAAGGCCACACAGCTAGCGAGTGGCAGGGGCGGCACTTGAACCCGTCTGTCTGACTTTCAGCACATGTTCCTGAGCGCATTGCTGTGCCGCCCCTCTTCCCAGAAGGTTGTCGTGAGTGCAAGTAAGTTACACTTTCAGTAATGAATTTCTCTCACAGATGGAGCAGCCATGCGGGCCGGAGTACAGACAGGTGATCGAATCATCAAGGTAAGGAAAAAACTATTAAAGAGTTTATGGTAGAATTTTAAAAAACAGCATGTATTAGCCATATTTTGATTTTTTTCACTTGAATTTTTGAAAAAGCAGCGCATATGATGGATTTGTGGGCTATAAAACTTTTATTTTTTTTTAATTTTTTTAATATGTCTTTATTGATCTCAGAGAGAGGAAAGGAGAGGGGGAGAGAGAGAGAGAAACATCAGTAATGAGAGAGTCATTGATCGGCTGCCTCCTGCATGCCCCGGACTGGGGATCGAGCCTGCAACCTGGGCATGTGCTCTGACGGGGAATTGAACCCCGATCGCCTGGATCCTAGGTCGATGCTCAACTGCTGAGCCACACCCGGCCGGGCTATTTTATTTATTAAAAAATTAATATTACCCTATATTGAAAGGCACCATAAAAGGTCTGACTAAATGGAGTCATATATGTTCCTGATAGGATGGTAACTCACTGTTGTGAAGATCATTCCTCTCCGTATTAATATTTCTGCAAGTAATTCTCATCAAAATATGCTATTAAAATTGGGAAGGTGTGCTATTACTTAAACTGATTATTCTTTCAAATGAACTTCACAAAGGTATAAAAATAGCTAATGAAAAAAGTATGTTATTTATAAATATAGGTTTGTGTGAGGTGACATGGTGTGGATTATCTAAAGCAAGTGACTAGTCTAGGTATAGACCTATCAGTGGAACAAATCCAGAATCAGGCCTTCAATTCTGACCAGTAAGGAAACAATGAGTCAGTAATTACTCTTGAGACAGTTGATTCATTTGATTTCTTGAAACAAAATTACTATACAGGAAAAGACACCATGAACATATTTACAAACCACAATCTGGAAAAAAGTATTTGAAACATATTACAGAATGTATCCTTAATTATAAAGAGCACTCTTCAGTTACTAAGAAAAGAATAAACTAATAGGAAAATGGGCAGATAATTTTATCAGGCAATTCCCCAGCCTCACTGATAAAGGTAGGTGAAAATACATTTGGTTGTCAGAAATTTTAGAGATTGATAATACACAGTAGGTATAGTTTGGTTGTGGTAAATGGCTACAGTCAGAAGCTTGTAATGAGTATAAGTTAGGTAAAATATGTTTGGATGGAAATTTGTGAACATGTATCAAAAGTTACATACTTTAAGTATATAACCTTTGACCAACAATTTTGCTTTTAGGAACATGTCTAAAGGAAATAAGTGTACATATGTGAAATGATATATATACAGGGAAATTCATTTTGGCTTCATCATATTGAAAACTTATAAACAACCTAAATATGCATAAACTGAGGGCTGGAGAAATAAGTTACATTTTATTTGCAGCTTTTAAAAATGTGTGTATCTATAATGAAAGATACCCACAATACAGTAAAAGGCATTTATTTATTTGCAGAAAAAAGGCAGTTATAGTTTATATTTATATGTGTCTGTGCATGTGATATGTATATGCTAGAATAACCATGTTAACAGTGGTCGTTTCTGTTGGGCGTGATGAGTACACCTTTACTTCTATTTTGTACACTGATAGCATTGAACTTAATAAAACCAGTATTGTGTCAGAGAAAAAAAATTTCATGTTAGATCCATGTTTAATGTTTTTACCTTAATTTGTTTTGTTTAGTGGAGACTTTGCATAACATTTCCTACATTTAGCCTCTCCGAAAAATAAATTTCATTGTAAAGATTTAGGTCATAATTGGGAAACTAAAAGCAAGTTGAATATCATTTTGGAAATATTTATTTTTTCATCTTTTAAAAGTACATTATGATTTTGACAAATCACTGAATTTGTAATTAAAAGCAAAGAGATACTTTCTGTTTGCAAGACCCTCGACTGTGAAGGATTTGTAAGTCTGTTCAGTGGTACATTTGGTTGCCTGTCATGGGAATACATTGTAACGCCCTTTCAATCAAGGCTTACTTTGCATTCAAGTTCGTTTTGTTGCTGAGTATGCCTTATGGAATAGTGGAAAAAGTGAGTATTGAATCAGATATATGCATATTTTAATATCTACATAGCCCCACCTGCTGTATTATAACTGGGTATACTCCATATAATAATTCCTGAAATCACATTGCCCATTGTGTCAATAGAATGCATCTCACACACACTGTTTCATTTTCCTGCAGGTGAATGGGACTCTGGTGACTCATTCAAATCACGTGGAGGTGGTGAAGTTAATCAAATGTAGGTGAATGTTATTGTTTTAATTGTTTTCTGAAACCCTGAAGCAAGGATCAGCACACGTTTCCTATAATAGACCAGACAGTATTTTAGGCTTTGTGGGCCCCGTGGTTTACTACTTGACTCTGTCGTTGTAGCAGAAAAACAACCATGGACAGTATGTAAATGAATGAACTTGGCTGTGTTTCAATAAAACTTTATTTGCCAAAACAGTCTGTGGGCTAGGTTAAGTCCCTTGGCTAGAGTTTGATGACTCCTGCATTAAAGGAAAGTCTGAGGTGAAAATTCGTAACTAAATAATTGCGTTATATGTGGTTGATTATAATATCCTTGTCATCTTGGTAACATTGAAAGCACATATTTGAAAGAAATGTCTAAGCCACCTGAGAGGGAGGAGATTGAGAAACTGGACACAGTGGCCAAATGAACTGGAAAACCTTTAAAAAATTCCCCCGAAGCATAGCACTTGTGACCATTAAGTATAAAAAGAAAAATAGTTTTCAGAACCTCAAACATTGTGAAATAACTTACAGTGAGTTCCATGGTAGGCTTAAATTGCAAACAAGTTGTGAAATACATTTAAAAGTTCTATTGAAAAGTCGAAGAGAAAGATTTTTGTCAATTAAAGGTCAGTTACCTAAAGAAGTCATTTATTTGGAAAGTCTCATTTCTTCTTGATATAAGTGTTGCTGTTTCTGTTTGCATGGAAATTTTTGCCATCCCTTCAGTTTCAGCCTGGGTGAGTCTTTTGTTCTGAGGTGGGTCTCTTGTAGACAGCATATATTTGGGTCTTGTTTTCTTATCCATTCAGCCACCCTCTCTGTCTTTTGATTTAGAACATTTAATCCATTTACATTGAAGGTTATCGATAGTTATTCTTGCCGTTTTCATTCTTTATGGCCATGTTCCTCTCTCTCTCCTTTTTATTACAGCAGTCCCTTTAACATTTCTTGCATTTGCAGGTTTGGTGGTGATAACTTCTTTAGACTTGTTTTTTTTGTCTGGGAAGCTCTTTATTTCACCTTTAATTTTGAATAATTGCCTTGCTAGATAGAGTAGTCTTAGTTTTAGATCCTTGCTTTTCATTACTTTAAATACTTCATGCCATTCCCTCTGGCCTGTAGTGTTTCTGTGGAGAGATCAGCTGACAGTCTCAGGGCAGCGGCCTTGCAGCTCACTGACAGTCTCTCTCTTGCTGCCCTTAAGATTGTCCCTTTGGCCTGGCTGACGTGGCTCAGAGGCTGGTTGAGCATTGACCTGGGATCCAGGAGATTGAGGTTCCCTGTCGGGGCACATGCCCGGGCTGCGGGCTCGATCCCCAGGGGGGGGCGTGCAGGGGGCAGCCGATCCATGACTCTCATCATTGACATTTCTCTCTCTCTTCCTCTCTGTCTCTGAGATCAATAAAGTCATATTTTTTTTCAAAAATTGTCTTTAACGTTTGCCATTGTAATTATGATGTGTCTTGGGGTGAGTCTCTTTGGGTTCATCTTTTTTTTAATCCTCACCCAGGGATGTTTTTTCGTTGCCTCTCAGATAGTGGAGGGGGGGACATCGTTTGGGTGCCTCCCGCACTCGCCCTGCCCGGGGCTGGGGTCGAGTCTGCAGCTGAGGGCGGGGTGGAACTGGAGACCCTCAGTAACCACTGAGCCAGACCGGCGAGGGCTCTTTGGGTTCATCTTGACTGGGACTCTCTGTGCTTCCTTCACCAGGTTAGTGAAGTTTTCCGTCATCGTTTCTTTAAACAGGCTGTCTACTCCTTGCTCACTTCTCTCTCTGGTGTCCCTATGATGCGGATGTTGTAATGTTTAATGTTGTCCAAAGTTTCTTTAAACTGTCCTCATGTGTTTTAAGTGTTTTTCTTTTTACTGCTCTGATTGAGCGTTTTTTCTATCTTTTTTCCAAATTGCTTTTTCAATTCTCTGCTTCATCAAGCCTGCTTTTTAATTCTTTCCAGCATATTCTTGATGTCAGATACAGTGTTCTTCATTTCCAGCTGGTTCTTATTCATAGTTTCGATATCCTTTTTCATGCTAATGTAGTTCCCACTAAGTTTCTTGTAGTTTCCACTGAGTTCTTTTTAGTTCCCATTTAGTTTCTTGTAGTTCTTACTGTTCCTTGGGCATCTTTATAGCCATTACTCTGAACTCGGTGTCTGATAATGTTCTTACCTCAATCTCTTTTAGGTGTTTTTCTGGCTGTCCCTCCTTTCCTTTAATTTGGGGGTTGTTGCTTTGTCTCCCCATTTTATGTGTCTCTTTGTGTTTGTATCTATCAGATATACCTGCTGGGACTCGCAGTCTTCATGGGGTGGGCTTTTGTAGTGAATGTCCTGTGGGACCCCATTGTGTGGTCTCCTTGAACTCCTGAGGTGGATGTTCTAGGAGTGACCCTTTGTGGGTTCTTTGGGCTCTCCTTTAGCAATTAGGTCTTGATTGTTGTGCCATTTGTGGGTAGGCTCTTCTCTCAGGATGGCTCACTGTAAAGCTCAGCCACAACCATGCTGTGCAAGGTGTTGTACAGGTGCTGACAGGGGAACACAAAACCAAACCAAACAAACAGCATACAGTAGATCCCGACAACAGCACTGCTGTTGAAACAGCACAAAAGAGAAGAGAATTAGGCAAGAGTAAGGAGAACAAAAGCAGTAAACAAAGAAGAGAGGAAAAGATAGTATCACTAACAATAAGATAAAAAATAAAGAGAAAAGCAGCAGAAAAAAAGATTCTGAAAGAAGGGAGAGCAAAAAATACGAGTAGAGAGTAGGAAAAGAAAAAGGTAAAAAAAGATAAGACAGAAAAGAAGAAAAAACACTATGCAGTGGTTCAAAGGAGAGAGAGGTGACGCAAAGAGAGAAAGGGGAAGGGAAGGAAAAGGTGAGGAGAGGAAGGAGGCCAGTGCAGGGAATGAGACGAGAGAGGAGAAGCAACATCAGCAACACTGCTGAGGAGTAAAGGAGGAAAGTGCCGTAAGAGAACAGAATCCAGCCTGGTGAGGTTCGTCCAGGCAGGTGCAGTGCGGAGTTTGTGCTCGCCAATGCCAGGAGCTGTCCACACTTGGATCCTGGAGTCCTGGCGTGCCCGTCAGCCTGAGGTGCTGTAGCACCCCTCCTCCTGTCAGCGACTTTGCCCCCCCAGGGTGCCTGGTCTTCCCAAGAGAGTCTTCAGGGTGGAGCCAGGCTGGCGTAGCTCAGGCTAGTGGGCCCCTTACTCAGAGGCTTCACCGTCAGGCACTCCCTGGGGGGACATGAACCTCTGCCTCAAAGCCAGCTCCTCAGCCTCCACCATATCCTGCAACTCTAGTGCCCCCTCAGCTGGCCTGCTGCAGGTTCAGGTTGGATGCATCCTGCTACCTTTTCTGCAGGAGAAGTTTCTGCTGCCCTGGGCTCAGGGTAATTGAATAAAAGAGACTCTGGTGGACAATGTTGCCTGCCCAGCCCACAGGAGGGGCTAAGCATTTCCTAGTCCCAGACAGTAGCCTTTGAGGGCCTTACTATTCGAATGATCTGCTCTGAGCTGTTCTCCCAACCCCCACCAAACTGCATCCACTGGGGGCGTCTAGGGCTTCAGAGAGCCAATCCAAACAGTTTTCTGTTGGTGGTGGTGTTCCCAGCCTGCAGGAGAGGCTTCCACCCCTCCTTCCAGGGCCTGGCTGGCTGAACTTGCGGCACTCGGATCAGCCTCCCCACCATGTACTCACAAAGCCCAACTCTTATTCCACTGTCTCCCCAACATAAGCCTTCCTGGGGGGTGCTGTGGGATGCCATCAAAAAAACTCAGCTCTGCTAGGACCAGGCACCCTTGTGCCACATCTCTAAGCAGGACTCTGATCTCTCTGCACATCTGGTCTCAGTAAAGCTGGGGCCGAGAGTCCCAGCTCCGCTCACACTCCCAGCTCTCCTCAGTGCAGGTTCAGCGTCTCGATTTGCCCTGCCACTGACCCCACAGGCTGGACAGTCCTTGGGCTCCACAGGTGGGGGGAGGGGCTCCAACCCCACACTCGAGTTGGAAGAATCGTCTCTCCCTTCCTCATGCAACACCAGTTTAGTCACTTTCTGGGGCTAGGCACATTGCCTTTCAGGAAAGCAGAGGGCCCCTCAAAGCGCCTGCCGGGTGCAGCCCTCAGGCCCCCCTTATTTCTGGAGCCACACAGCGGGGCACAGCCTTTCCATCAGTCAGAGCCGGAGGAGAACCTCACCTGCTAGGCTGCCAGCGTTCGGTGTGCTCCTTCTCTAGGAAGGGACGAACCCAGCCTCCCAGGCAGACACTTCCCCAGGATCCCTCTGCCCGATGCTACACAGGCTTTCCTTCCAGTCTCTGCTGCTCCGGGTTTGAGATTCCGGCATGGGCTCGAGTCCCACACCCCCAAGGGGAGGGAGCTTTGCACTATCCCTCGGGCCTCTCATCCCAGCTCCAGGGGGCCCTCCCTTTCCACGACTCTCTTCCGTATACTGGCCTCTACGTTGTTTCTTCAGTTCTCTTTAGACGAATGTGTCCAGTCAGCTACACTGCTCTTGTTTTCCAAGCTGACCATACGTTGTTTTAGTTGTAAATCAGTCTGTGGCTGGGAGGAAGGGCAGCAGCCTCCTGCTAGTACCCAGCCATCTTGCCCCGCTCTGTGTTCTCCAGGTTTTTAAAATTAAAACTCACTAATTTACTGAGGGTTTCTTCATGTTTTTGTGGGATATTTTTTGTCAGTTTTACTTTGTAAATTAATTTTAAAATTGCATCATTATGTTCCATAAAATTAGTTAAGTTCTGCCTAATTAATATCATCTTAAAATATGACTTTTAAATTTGCATTTAAGAAAGTAATTAAACATAGTTATTAGTAGGTGGTTAATATTAATTCACTCTTTTCTAATTAAAAAATTGGGGGCTATACATTTTATTTGCTTTTAAGTAATATTAGTAGTAACTTGCTATCTGAAAATGACACTGTTCTTTTAGATTCTTATAGGATTTATAAAAAAGACAAATTGGGTTCTTTTTATGTAGATAAGTGGTTAGCAGATGATGGCGCTTTCTCACATGACTGGATGTTTTTAGAATTGTCACAGACTGAGTAGTGAAATGCTATAAAAGCTTTTTTACAATGTTATTTTCGCTTCCCTTTCTTTTATCTCCCCACCCCAAGCTGGTTCCTATGTAGCCCTCACTGTTCAGGGACGCCCACCTGGGATGCCCCAGATTCCACTTGCTGATTCTGAAGTAGAGCCATCAGCCACCGGACATCTGTCGCCCATCACGACATCCCCTCACTCACCGGGAGCATCGGGGAATATGGAGAGAATCACCAGTCCTGTGCTCATGGGGGTAAGAGTGGGAACACTTCTTTGTAAATGCTCAGTTGCGTAATTCCTTCGCTATATGTTCAGAATTTTGAAGTATTGAACTGATAAACAAATTTAAGTTCAAGATTCTAAAAAATAACTTTATCATATTCACATAATGCAGTTGACCCTTGAATAACACGGATGTTTTCAGTGACTACACACAGCAGTGTAAATGGACTTTCTCTTCCTATGTATTTCTTAATAGCACTTTCTTCCCTCTAGCTTACTTTACTGTGAGAATTCAGCATTTAATACAGGTAACATACCTGTTAAAATAGGTGTTAATTGGCTGTTTATGTTATTGGAAAGGCTTCCAGTCAGTAATAGGATATTATTAGTTAAGTTTTGGGGGAGTGAAAGTCACATGCAGATTTTCGACTGCACAGGGGGTTGGCACTCCTAACCCCACATTATTCAAAGGTCAACTGTAATTTGGGATGATTACTGAGTATGGGGATAGGAGATTTAATTCAACAAATATTAAACACCTTCTATACACAAAACAGTTTGCCACTCACAAAAATATTTAAGATATCCTTTGTTCAAGGTCTTTATTATCTTAGAATATATACTTTAAAAGGACACAGGGTTTTTTTGTTTACTTGTTTGTTTGCTTGTTTGTTTGTTTTGTGTATTGTTGAGTCCCTAGTGCCTGAAAAAAAATACCTAGTGCTTGGCATATAGTAGGTGCTTAATAAACCTTTGTTTGAGATTGAATCCAGAATATTCAAGTAATTACAAAGGCAGAATGTGACATTAGGGAAAAAATATTAAGTTCTATAAGAATTCAGAGGAGGGAAAAGTACATCCAGTTGTGATAAGGAAGTGCTTGTGGAAAGCTATTTTTTAATTGAGCCTTGAAAACAGGTACCATGTAAGTGGTGGGAATGGAAATGACGGCAACCCAGGTAGAGGAAGGAGAGGTAAAGTCAAGGAAGCACCAAGTGTTTTGGGAAGTAGCTAAGACTCTTCTTCGTCTGGTGCTTGTTAAAGAATTTATGTAGTGGGAGAGGAGCTTGAAAAAAGCAAGGCTATTTCTTTTAAAAAATCACACCTGTCCAGCCCGTCATTGCTCAGCGGTTGAGCATCGACCTAGGATCCAGGAGATCGGGGTTCGATTCCCGGTCAGGGCACAGGCCCGGGTTGCGGGCTCCATCCCCAGTGGGGGGTGTGCAGAAGGCAGCTGATCAGTGACTCTCTCATCATTGATGTTTCTGTCTCTCTCCCTCTCCTTTTCTCTCTTTGAAATCAATAAAGATAAATAAATAAATAAATAAATAAATCCACAACTCCCAGGCTACTTTACATGTAACTAGATAGTCAGTGAGACCCATTAAAATTTCTTTTGAGCAACAGAGTAATGTGATTATAACAAGATTTTAGGAAGACTAATTTGATTAAATAAAGGGTTATGGAACAAGGAGAGATGGCATGTGGTGAGCTAGGGAGCTGCCTTAATATTTCAGGTGGGAAGTACTAGGATGTGAGCCATGCATGGGGACTGGTAGTAAAGATCTAAGGAAGGGAAAGTAGAAGTATTATTCTTATACTTAAGCCAACTTCATTTTCCCAGCTAATATCAGTATTTAATATTTTCTTGAACCTAGTTTAGTAAAAGTGAAAAGGACTGAAATTTCCCTGTAATCTTTTATCTTTAGTGTCATGTCTAAAAGTTTGTCCTTATAAGTGCTGGAAATAAAGAAAATCTTAACAGATATTGAAAATTAGAGCTGGGGCATAACATTATACGTCTTGTTTTCGCTATTTATTTTAGCTTCGCTTTCCCTGTATCAGTTCTTTTTTGTTTGTTGGTTTTTTATCTTTTTCTAGGAGGAAAACAATGTGGTTCATAACCAGAAAGTAGAAATTCTGAGGAAAATGTTACAGAAAGAACAGGAACGGCTACAGGTACTGAATTAGGAAAGGGCTATTTACAGGCCAGTCAGATGTGAGTGGGTATTTCTCATGATCAGTGCCATTGCTGTTTAAGAATAGTCTTCCTATATTTTCTTGACATAACTAACCAATTACCAAAATGTTTTTATAACTTTTCAGTTACTGCAGGAAGATTACAACCGAACCCCTGCCCAAAGATTGCTAAAAGAGATCCAAGAGGCCAAGAAACACATTCCTCAGCTGCAAGAGCAGTTATCCAAAGCCACGGGCTCTGCTCAGGTAGCATCACTGTTAAAAACCCTACCCAACTTTTTGCTGGAGCATAGTCTCCTGTGAATGTGTCAGAGAATGTTGCAGTTGCCTTTTGTAATAGTTACTTTCTAACAGGAGGTCCTTTGTAGGACTTACAGAAATAATGATTATTTAAAAGAAATGTGGACTTTGATTATTGCCTTGTTCATAATTTAATGTTTCTTTTTTCCACAGTAATTTTAAAAAGAATGCTTTGGCTTTGATGTCACAAATTACTAAAATATATTTCGATACATATATTTATATTTTTGAGGTTCCTCCTATAATTATGTTTTTAAGTATGGATATAAGATTTTACAAATTGACAGGTATTGTGCTAAGTACTTGGACAAGCATTTATTTTTCTTAGTCTGCACAGCAGCCCTCTGAGATTAGATACTCTGTTCTTTCCCCCCATTTTACAGATACACTTAAAGAAACTCAGACAGACTAAATAATTTGCTGAGATCATGTAGCTCAGAAGCAATGGAACTGGAATTTAAGCCCAATCTGATGAATTCAAAGCCCATTCACATTCTTAATGACTATATTTTCATTGTAGTTTTAAAATAGATTTCAACAGAATTTGCTACATAGGTATAAGTATGGAGATGATGGTGTCATTAGAAAAAAATAGCTCAGTATTTATATCTCAACCAGATTTATAGTCTGTAATAGTCAGACTTGGGATATGAAAAAAGCTCCTTTTACTTCATTTTAAAGCAAAATAAATTGCCTGTACCATTTAAAACGAGTAGAAACCGTGGATTTGCTCCTCCTCGGTTAGGTCTGTCGGTGAGCAGATTCATGGCACTGAAGGAACTTGAGATCATCTACTCCAATTAAAATGTTTGAAAACTAGGGCCTAAACTGGTTTTGTGACCTGTACAAGGTCACAGTTACAAGGTGTCCTGCGTTGCTAGTTTGGTCTACTTTCTGTTATACATTACTTCTTTTTTCATCACTTTCAGTCCCATTAAATAGATGAAGTTTTGAGAATTATGCTTCAGTAATGTTGACAGTTTTAAGTTGTCATTACTGAGCAAAGGCAACATTCTTACCCATTTCAAATAGTAAAAATGTGGTTGCTGGTCTAAAAGCTTATAATCATGTTATAGTATTTGTGATTTACTGAAGTTCTAAAGTGTTAAAAGGCAGTGGACCATATGTTATAGTGTAATAGTCTTTACCAATGGGCAGGAAATAGAAATAATATAATTCAACAAACTGTTTTATCTTTATGTTCTATGTGGAAGTTCAGACTTTCCCCTCTTACTAAACTGTCTTTTGTCATTGCCATTTTACAACCACAGAATTAGTAGTTATTTATGTTTTTAACTTTTAGATCTTTAAGCACCCTTGATCACATCAAACTGGCCAAATTTTAGGAGTCTTCTTTAGATTGCAGCGCAGCTCTGTCTGTTTATGCAGTCCCTAATGAAAGTTTAATGTGTTTGTGTGTGTCTGACCTGTTTCAGGATGGAACCGTAATTATACCCTCCAAGCCTGGAGGTGATACTCCAGCAGTCAGTGAGGTCGAAGCAGACCCTGGGGATGGACTGGGCCGAGTTGACTGTAGCAGTGGAGATGCTTCATGGCCCAGTAGTGACCATGCGGATGTAAGTGTTCCACATCTTTATCTTCTGTTCTTCTTAAAGCCTCTCTTTAGTTTTAAGTTACATGAGTAGAGTTGTGTTCTCTTACTGCTTATAACCTTTTGTCATTGCCATCTTTAATGTAGCAGAAATTCTGAACACTGTGTATGAGCTTTTAATTCCAGAGTTCACGTTTTCCCTTCAACACCCATTGCCAAATGTCTCTTTACAGGAGATGGAATTTCCCAGAAGGCATCTTATTTGAGGGTAGAAAAGTTAATAATGCTAGTGCTTTCTTACTGAACGGAGAGGCCCGTTGTTGATATCTTTAAGAACATGTTAATATTCCATTTGTGGTCAGAGTGACTCAGTCTTGAAATATGGGCACTTTGCATTAAGGAAAGGAAGAGACGTCTTTCTGTTAGACAGGCTTCAATTAGAGCCCATGTTTAGTGACACTTTCTTCATAACCCAGAAATCGCCAGATGGGACATAGATATTTGTTAAAAGATAACATATTTTAAGTTGAATTTACTGTGGCTTCATAGACATATGAATACTTAAAGCTAAGTCCACTGTCACTCAGCATAGCTTTGTAAGTAGCATGCAGTGATAGGAACAAGGACTTACAAGTAGATTGCCCTCTTTAAAAGTAACGAGGAAAGTAGTCTAAACCAGTGTTTTTAAAAATGTTCATGAAATCACTTTGGTTGGAACCAGCATATTAAAAAAAAGAATAGGAAATAAGAGTGCTTTACATGTAGAAGTGGTGTTACTTCTTGTGACTCTTGTATATATATGTATATATGTGTGTGGGTGTGTATATATATGTATACACACGTACAGAGACACACCCACATACTATATTTAACAATGTGAAATTTCTGCCTATAGTTTATCTTAGAAACAGTCTTGAGTCCAGAGCTTTAACTTGTTCTAGCAGTATTGGTTTTGGGAATTCTCATATTCGTTTTTATATTTTAGTGCTACTTCCTTCTGTTTTCATGGCTTGGTTCTACCATTAGATGGCAAGTTTCTGAGGGCACAGGGCCTGTCCTATTACCTTTATGTTTCCAAAGCCTGGCAGATTGTAGGAATTCAGAACAAGTGATAAGAAAGAAAAATTTGAATTCTATTTTGTGTTTAGACGAGTGTTACAATAAAATCTGTGGCATAGATACATACCTTTATAAGAAAGAGAGAATTAGCAAATGTAGAAACAGTCATTCCAATGAATTAAGACTGTTTGACATGTAATTAGTGTTTTTAAGTATTTGAATGAACAGCAGAGTGAATGATTAGAGAGTTTGGGTTTTGTCTTACATGCAAAAGACAGACACAGTCACAAACATGTCAGTGTGGAAGATGAACTGCAGTAGAGACAGGGAGATCTGTGAGAGAGGAAGACTGCTGCCCTGGCCGCTCAGTAGTGGAGTGTCATGCTACACACCAAAAGATTGCAGGCACATCTGTGGTCAGGTGTGTACAGGAGGCAGCCGATCGATGTTTCTAACATTGATGTTTCTCTCTCCCCTCCCCCCATATATAGATACCTATTGAAGATATATA